AAATTTGTTTAAATTTAATAAAAATTTAATCATATATAGAAATCATTATAAAGAATAAGTTTACTTAATACATAAAAATTGTTTTTATTAATAAAATAAAAAGTTTAATATATGATAACTATTTTCGTTTAATTATAATAATTCTTAAGTGATCTTTCATTTATTGGGGAGAACTGTATATAATATATAACAAACCTTTTTAAAATTTTGATTAATTGTAAATTAAAATATAAAAAAAATTTTTTTTATTAAAAAGATATAATATTATGTTTATTATGAAATAATTTTTAAGTTTATTTTATTTAAACTTATAAATTTATAGAATTTTATATTTTATTTTTAATATTATAAAAAAAAAAAAAATGCTTTAAAATTCAAAAATGCAAAAATTTACAAATAAAAAATTATCAAAAAAATTTTTTTTTTAAAAAAAAAAAAAATCTATATATTAAATTAAAATTTATAGAATTATAAAATTTTGAATAAAATTTTTTATATAAAATTTATATTATTAATTTATATTATTATAATCTTTAGATTCCAAGCTTTATTTTGATATATCATTTATTAATTTTTATGCAATAGTTTTTGAATAACAAATAAATAAAAAATTCCAAAAAGTTTTGTTACACACTGTAAGTATAAATAATATCTTTTGTTTATTCAATATTATTATTATATTGAAATAAATATAATTAAAACATATAAAAATTTTTTGTAAAATCCATATAATATGATTTTATTAATAGATGGTTCAATGGTTCAATAGTTTTGATATAGATTTATTTATATGGAACTTGAAGTTGTGATTAAAAAAATTTATTGTAAAATTTAAATCACGATTATTATTATTATTATAAAGCAAAAACTCACATGAAAAGGAATGATCAATAACTACGTATTGGTCATTTTATACACGGTTTGTTATATTTAAAAAATACGTATGTTTGTAATAAAAAATAAAATAAAATTTTTTAATTTTCAAATTTTTATATTTTTTAAAAAAAAAGTTTTTATTTTTTTTATTTCATATTGATTTTTTTAAAATAGAAGTTTATAAATATACTGTACTTCTTCTTTTCAGTTATTGTTAACATGAAAAGATTTTTTTTAAAAAAATAATCTAAATAATTAATTATTAAACTGTATACGTTATGTGATTCTAAAAGTCATCCGTACTTTAGTCGGCGATACCGTATACGGTAATTTATAAGCAAACGTCAGCATTGAATACTTTACCAGTGATTTGGCTGGTACCGCGCAAGTCCGAGTATACGTAAGACCCTGACCATATGCTAACGGCACTAGATATTCATTAGCTGCTCTTGTTTTCTTTAAATAAATTGTATAAATTTAGCTCGAAGGCGTTTCACGTAAAACTGATTGTGTTGGTTGATAGAGAATTTTAATACAAGTTCATATTGATTTTCATTAAATTAACTATCGTAAGTTAAAGATATTAAAATTATAGAAATTATAACTCGTGCACCAAGGTTCCCAGTAATCTTCGCACATCTTCAACATTTTCAAGGTAATACTTTGCCTCAGTTTGTTTCTTCCCGACTGTGCTCGTGTAACAATTCGGCATTAATTCCTTTAGTAAAGAAAATACTGGCTCATCAGTTTTGCTATCTCCTATACATAGAATAAAATCGACGTCATCCCGTGATTGGTTCAAATCCTTAATAATGGCACGAACAGCAGTTGATTTATCAACTGTTTTTGGTCGAACTTCCAAGGTTTTGTTAACCAATGCAATCTAATATATTGAAAATCGATTAATAACTATAAATTAGATATTTATGACGTTAAACAGACTTACCGTTAAAGGCATACGACTTAAAAGTTTCTCCAGGTTAACCTGAAGTTCGATCGCCTGCCAATTTCCAAATTCAGGGTCCGCACTTTGATAATTCCATACTACGTTAACCTCTTTTTCTTCAATGAAAGAGCCCGGAGTTCGTTCCGTGTAATGTAATAATAGCGGCAAGATTATTCCCTTCCAAGTAGGGTCGACTTTTTCGACAAGTCTGTACCAACCGTTAGTTTCATTCTTTGTTTTTGCATCCGAAATGCGAGTTGTAATGAAATTGACCTTTCCTCGAGGATGCTTATAATAGCATCCATGTTCTGCAGAAAGTCCAACTCCGACTGATTCGAACCATTGATCGAGGTGCGTACGTCCACGACCAGATAATATGTAAATGTAGGTGTTTGGTTTACTTTGAAGCTTTTTAAGGACTTTAAGAATACTACTAGACGGATTAGCCAATTCCGGTAATACTTGCGTAGAGACTAAAGTGCCATCATAATCCAATAAGATGATTCGATTTTTTGCGCTTTTTGCTGCTTTCGTTGTTTGACTAAATTTTAGGTATCGAATCTGTTCACGAACACCGTGTTCTTTACCAACGCGCTAAAATCAATTCACGTGAGTCAGTCAGTTAACGTGATATTCCACTGTTTAAGACTAATGGTAGCCAAATCACCTTTAGTTCGTTAACAAAACTAGTCCCCCAATTGGCAGCAGTATATTTGTTAACGTATCGGTATAGTTTTTGATGATTTGACTTACGCAGAGAATCCGGCATGGTGACAGCTTCATGAATTGCATTAGCAACATCTTCGGTGTTCCACGGATTTACGATGAGAGAGCCTTTAAAATATTTTAACATAAACCAATATCAATCATTTAAAATTTGATAACTCAAAAGCATACGTTAGTACTTAATGCCTACCATTTAAGGATTGAGCAGCACCCGCAAATTCGCTGAGTATCAATACACCATGTCTTTTTTCCTGGCACGAGACATATTCATAAGAAACGAGATTCATTCCATCTCGGGTGGAAGATACCAAGCAAACGTCCGAAATCGCATATAGCGCAACCAATTCGTCAAAAGAAACAGATTTATGCATAAAGTGTATTGGCGTAAATTCTATAGTGCCAAATTGACCATTCGTTCTTCCGACTAATTCGTTAACTTTAACGCGTACGTCTTTATATTTTTCGACGTCTTGCCGGGAAGGCACAGCTACTTGAACAAGAACAACTTTTCCAATCCATTCAGGGTGTTCACTTAGAAACACCTCAAAGGCATTGATCTTATGTTGAACGCCCTTGATATAGTCCAAACGGTCCACGCCGACAATGAGTTTAATGCCCTCGAATTTTTTTTCTAATGTTTTAATACGTTCTTGAATTTTTGGTTGGGTTAATCCCTAAAAAGTATTTATGAAAATGAGTCGAAGTAGATTGATGTGTGATAGAGACTTATTCCTTCTGAACAAACATACTTCAGCAAATTTTTCAGGATCAATGCCAATAGGAAATGTTCCGATATGTACGTGTCTGTCTTCATAATCAACACTGTTGGGCATGGTGGATAAACCCAGAATGAGAGTACACGATGATAAAAAGTGACGGGCATAATCATATGTTTGAAATCCAACGAGATCCGAATTCAAGACCCCATTAAGAATCTCTTTACGGACAGGAAGAATCCTATTGAATCGATCGTGCTCATATATTAAACTTTTGCAACCGATAGATTAACCGTAGTAACTTTGTAAACTCACCGGTATACCTCACTGCTAGGAAATGGTGTATGTAGAAAGAAACCAATCTTGATATTTGGTTTACTCTCACCTAACCTTCCTCTCAACATACTTGGCAACAACATTAAATGATAGTCTTGAACCCAAATCAAATCACCATCTTGAACTATGTTAATAATGGCGTCGGCGAAAAGGCTGTTGACTAATTCATAGGCATCCCAATCATCCTGGTTGAAGGCAATCTCGCCAGGGTAATAATGAAACAATGGCCACAAGATTGAATTGGAAAACCCGTTATAGTGACGATCTGCTAAATCATCATCTACGAAAACGGGAAGGCACGAATGAGCCTCAAGTTTAGTGGTCACTATTTTCCTCTCTCCTTCAGGTATAGAGATTCCTGCAACAAGTAGTCGGTCAATGAGTATATGAGTTTATCGGGATGTACTACAAAAATGAATCGCGAATCAATTGTATCACCATTTTTAAACTCTAAATGAAAGAAACTGACCAGGCCAGCCAATCCAAGTAAAAGACATCATTTTCTTCAAACCGCTAAGCGCACTCACCAGACCACCCGAGGACATTTTAAAGGTATACTCTTCATTGACCTTTGTAACAGTAACTGGCAAGCGATTTGAAACCACCAATAGCCTTGTTATATTTCCATCAAGGGTAGATAAGGCTTCGTTTACGTGTATTTTTGACATAGGTACTAGATGGTTTCGAATGCAATTTAAATTAAAATGAATTGGTTTTTGCTTAAAAGTAACATGGGTGCCAGAGGGGACTCCTTAAATAAACGAATATAATATCATTCGATTTTGGAAAGAAATTCTTAATTTAGGATTCACAACACGTGAATGGATTTTAGTCTCCAAGATGGGTTAAAATGATTTTCAACTAAAAATGTTATCTATGCAATTTAAAAGAATCGGCAGGAAAAGCACTGGCATATATGCATTACATCATACTGTGTACTGTAGATATTTGCTTTAACTTGCATACTGTATACCAAATAAGTAAATTCCAATTATCAGATCTTATTAGATCAATTGGAGCCAATGATTTCATCGACTCAATTCATGATCTAATAACCACGAAAATAACATGGTGATAGTCATGTGACTTCCGGCGACCCGATGTCAGTATGCATAATGATAAAGGTTATTATTAATAAAGGTTCTCAATATTCATGAATATTAATAAAGGTAATACAATATATTAATCAATGTTCATTAAGCTATCGAAAATATCTATAAAATTATTATTTCCTATCTCCCATTCATATAATGCAACGCACTACCCATTGCTTTTTTATATTTGTAAGTTTTTCTTGTCTTTCTTTCTTTTCTAGTATTTTGGAAGTGAACGGTACTAAGGGTTTTTTATCAAAAGATTCATCTTCATCTTTTCGTCTTTTATAATCATTCCATATATAAACCAAACGATTGTTTATCAAATTAATTTTTTTTTTCCAAAGGTGCAAATATAGATTAAAAATAGGTGCTATTTTTTTTTTGCTACAAAGTATTTGCAAATAAGATGATGGTTATATAATACGCCAGACAAGAATACAGCATATCTATTTATCCACATCGGTATGAACAGTTACTAATTTGTTTCAGTGAGTTTCGAGTTTAATTTCATCCATGCTATATAGAAATCCACCATTGTTATTATAATAATGATTACAGTATTAATACTAATTGAATCGTCATTATTATTTTGATTTTTTTTTTTTGATATCAAATCTGGATGTTTTTTGTTTTTTAGTTTTGTCTTTTTTACAACATTTCTTTCAAGTCATGTATTTTTACTTACAATTTGAATTATTTCCATGGCTACAGATAAAGTCAGATATCTTTTTTGTAGAATAGTAGCTAGCACATGTTTTATCTAATATTTTAGCAGAAACTGTTAAAAAATTTATATTTACAGGAAATTTTTTTGCTCATTATATCTGGTGTAAATCGATATAACATGCTTTCACATTTTAAATTAATAATAATGGTGGTCGTGTAATTATTATGATTGTATAATTCGATAATATAGTCATTATTATTGTAACTGTTAAAATAAAATCGTCATATTCTATTTAATAAGTTTTTAAGTTATAAGATAGTAACATTATGAAAATAATATTAACTTATACTATTGATATACTGTATATATTATGTATGCATGGAGATATTTCTTAAATATGGTATTTGTTTTGTTTGTTTGTTTTAGATTAATAATTTTTTAAAGTTCCCAGATTGTTTTTCAATTCTGCATGTTATTCTATAAGTTTTCTTAATTACAATTGTAATTATAATAAGATGCTATGAACTTAATTATAGCATATACAGTATCTTAATTTTTTAAGACTACAACATTAATTTGTTATTTATTACATATCTCTTAATCTTCATAAGTATCAATTTCACTTGCAAGAAATATTTTATTTTTGTTCATTCAATGGTCATTATATTTAATATACAGTATATATACAGTATATTGACATTAATGATATTATATTGAAAATATATCAATTTATTAAAAAATTTTTTTATATTTTTAGTTACTATAATATAATTATTTCATATTAAATTAATTTTAAATATACAAATTAGTCTATTAATATACAGTATGAGTCATATATTTTTGGAATTTTTTTAACTTTGTATTTTATCTTAATATTAAATAAAAAAA